TGTCACATTAGCTCTACAACCAGACACGGAAGCACAAACTGTAGCTAATTTTCTCAAATAGAAGAGTTCTTCTTTGTCCCTCTACTTTCTATACTCTGCATTTTCCATTTAAAAGTAATATTCTATTAATTTGTTGTTTTATTTGATTTATATATTTATTCAGTTGATGCATTGCTGCACTTCTTAATGCTAGAGCCACTTCAAGCTGATTGTAACCAAACAACTACAAATCCATTATGACTCCAATTTGTCGCCCTCACTTTCTACCCCCAATGTATGTGCCTACTTCATTTGGGAGTACAATATTATATGCTTTCTACCTTGACAAGTTTTAAATTTTAGTAAACAAAGACCAGCAAGAACACTCCTGTACTAAAGAAAAATAAATTAAATTTATTTTTCTTACTTCAGCAGGTAAGAATGCACCCTTGAGTAATTATGGGATAATTCACTAAGTGGAGTTGGGAGGGGCTTTGTATAGGATTTGGACTAGCGATCATAGTCCTAAATAAGATTTAAGGAAGCAGGAGCCAGTGCTGCATTAGATCTTGTCAAGAAGTGGGATGAACTCAGTGATAGGGTACCTTGGTAATTTTTATCTACGAAAGATTTGGATTAAAGTAGATGTAGACCAGAAGTATCATTAATAAAGGACTGATAGTCATTTCTGTTAGCTGTTAAGGGGGGAGGTTTAATCTTCTTTGTGGTTTTTAGTGGTCTTGTCTGTCTTGTTGCAAACATGGTCACAGAGTGTCTTTATATAAACGATGCTTCTATTCCGAGTTTTGATAATGTTCAGTTGGGATCACTATGGCCTGGCTGCCTGAAGTGAAAAACTTTTGAATAGGCCAGTTTTCCATTCAAGAATGTTATATCTGATAGGGAAAAAAAGCTATGAAATATTGCTACAGGTGTAAATTAAAGACAGAATTCTGCAAGTGGATGGTAAGTCTTCGAAAGGCAGAATTGCTCAAGTAACTGAGAGTGTCGTAAGTATGCAAAAATAACTTCTAGTTCTAACAGGCAAAATGAGTGGGACGGCTCTTTGGTAGATTGGGCTATCAATTAAAGTCTTCTTCTTTTGACCCTACCTGCGGAGCATGTGTTGATGATCCCCAATAACGTTATAGACCCCAGGAATATAAATTGCTTTATTACCCCTCACCAGCCTGCATATTTGCAGTTATTATGGGCACTTCAGAGAGAAAGTAAATGGATTCACTTTAGCATCCTCTATCAGTCTTTTAGGCACTTTGAGATTTGAGATATTAAAGCACAGCAGACACCACTATCCTAGAGGCAAAGCTACCTGTTTCTCTGGTTAATATTGTTTTTAGATTTTACCTTTTTGGAGATTGATTTATTTAGCATTTCCCCTTCATGTCCTTTCATGCATTAATACATAACTTCTTGATATCTAGAAATTCAAGTGCCATATGATGAATTAGTCTGCTTCATTCTTCAGCAAATAGCTCTTCCTCTTTTCTCATACCCCATTCTAGCACCTCATACAATCCTCAATGGCAAAAAAGACATTTGAAAGCAAATAAATGTTGTGGTTTACATTATGTTTCACTTAGTATCAGTTTTGTTCCCCCAACCTGTTACAGAAATTTTTGCATTCACTTGGCAAGAATAACGTAGTTATATAGGATGGATGCATGTTTAACAACCAATTAATATGTTTCTTTTTGCAAAGAAGCTTCATTATCCTTTTTTTTTTTTTTTTTTTTGAGACTCACTCTGTCACTCAGGCTGGAGTGCAGACACCTTATTAGAATTCTCACAATATTCTTAAAGGAAAGAAAACATAGTATTCTTGTTGACACTCTTAAGTAAGCAAAAAAGTGTTAGAGTCTATCTATACATATTTTTGGAAATGTTTTTCATAATGTTCATAGACCACTAGGTTTGGAATTACTGAGGGCTTCGCTAAAAATCTATATGCTAATCTCTACCCCAAACCTATAAGAACAGAATCTTTGTAAGCAGAATAGGACATTGAACTGCAGGTGATCTTCATGTAAATTAAAGTTAATTGATAATCTCCTAGTTTGGGACAGAGGATTGATATATGTTACCGCATGCATAAGAATAAACACTTTAGGCCAGGTGTGGTGGCTCATACCTGTAATCCCAGTACTTTGGGAGGCCAAGGCGGGCTGCTCACTTGAGGTCAGGAGATCTAGATGAGCCTGGCCAACATGATGAAACGCTGTCTCTACAAAAAATACAAAAATTAGCTAGGCATAGTGGCAGTCCCCTGTAATCCCAGCTACTCAGGAGGCTGAGGCAGGATAATTGCTTGAATCTGGGAGGTAAA